TTTTTCTATTGACTATTATCAAAATTACTACTTCTAGAAACAACAGAAATAATAATTATAATAGTAATTCTAAAACAATTAGGTTTCCAAAAGTAAGAATTTATTCATTCATCGTTTATGCATTTTTTCCCCTTTACGCATTAGTAGTAGGCTAAATCAAGACTTCGCAAGTTCTCTTGTAAAATAAAATAAAAAAACAACAACATGGAATAAACTGTGTACAGAAAGCGAGTAAAGAACTCTCAACATTAGGCTACTAAAAAGGTCAGTTTAATTTCGCAAAAACTTCTGTTAATAAAAAATTGCAGTACTCCGACTTTGCCACAAGGAAAAGTGTGTACGTCTGCTCAGACCCTGACGTGGCGGTAAGTACTTTTCCACGTCAAAGAGCGTTTTTATAAATATGAACGTTGCCGTGGATTTTAGCATACGCACACTCTAAGATCAAATCCGTGCGTACGCACATTTTATAAATGAGGCCCCAGATTCGAACCCATGACCTGAAAGATTCGGGGCCAGTGGCTTAGCAGAGTGCACCACTCAGTAGACTCACTTTCTACAGGCTGCTGAGGAAAGGTTTCGGTGTGAGAATGAGCTCCCTAATGAAGTTCTTTAGCATTTTAACCAGAGTAACATGCGAAGTTAAGTTAATGGTAACACAGCATATGGTTAACTTGATAGCTAAAGAGTCAAATTAAACAACTTGGTAACTGGTTAGCCCGTAACTTATTAGCATGCTAAGCTTAATAGCATAAGACAAGAAACATAGGCATGGTCAACTTCCAAGAAGTATTTCTTGGGAACAGTAGCAAAAATCAAAAATCTGCTCAGTCCAAAGATCATACAATCAGATTTTGGACAAAATTGGCCAAAATTTGTAGGAGGAGTAACAAAAAAACTCATTTAATTCAATATGGTTGACAGGCACATTCATGGAAAATGACAAATGAGACATCGTCAGAATCACCAGGGAATTAAATTATCATCATTTGGACAATGTTTTCAAAAGTAATGTGTTTTTGTAAAAATCATTATATCTCTGGAACACTAGGTGGCGCTGCGTTCAAACTTCTCAGGTACCTCCAGGACATGATGTCGATGATCCCTACCAATTTGTGCAGATATGTCAAATGGTTCAAAAGATATTGCAATTTATGTCATATTTCAAAATGGTGGACACATGGTTTAGCCAATCCTGGCAAAATTTGTTTTTCGTCTTGACTTAAGAAATTCATAGACACAAAGATTATGATTTTCTGACTGACCGTTCAAAAATTATAAGCAAAAAATTGGTTTTTGGTATCTCATGAACCACAGGTGGCGCTGTTTCAAACTTTGCCATGGAACCTCAGATCATGGTGTTGATGAAGTGTAGCAAGTTTTGTGTTGATTGATTAAAGTTTGGCTGAGATAAAGCCTCTGAACCAAGTTTGGGTCAACCTCGTTAAATTCACGACATCATAACTTTTGAACAAAGATGAATAAAAAAAAAATCTGTTTGGTCAGTTCTGTGCGGCTCAGCCCAAAGATCATCTGAGCCAATTTTGGGAAGAATTGGATCAATTTTAAAGGAGGAGTAGCGAAAAGACAGAATACTTTACTTGTGTACTGTACTGTACTCTTAATGTAAGCTATTGAATGTGATCAGCATGAAGGGAATAATCAGGTGTACTAAGTTTCATTTTTCTAGAATTAGGGGCTCAGGAGTTATTACCATTTTAATGTTGAATTTTTGAACTAGTGGTGGTGCTATAGAGTTAGTCCTAGAGACCCCAAAGTTGGCCAGAACAGTTTTCATGGCCATCACTACAAGTGTGCCAATTTTCATAATTTTCCTATATTCCCTTCATAGGGCTGCCATAGACTCCCATTGGGGAAAAATAATAATAAAGAAAACATACAGATACAATAGGGGCTACAGCCCTTGGGGCTTGGCCCCTAACTATAATTTAGATTTACAAAATATGTCTATATTTCGCCGCATCACAAAGCGGGCTTGAGTCCTTGGGAGATGAGGATTCGGCTGCGTTGCCTCCCTCTGGGACACCAGCGTTGCCCGAGTTTAATCCCAAGCTGATGGCCATGCTTTCCCGGGCAGCTGAGAGCATCGGGCTCGAGTGGAATCCTCCACCCTGTCCCGAACGCTCGAGGCTGGACGATTGGTTCCTGGGGGCTGCACGCTCTGATCGCCAGCGCCTCCCTCCGGTTCCTTTCTTCCCAGAGGTGCATCAGGAAGTTACCAGTTCGTGGAGGCACCTTTAACTGTCCGAAACCGTTCTTGTGCTACCTCTGCCTTCACTGCCCTCGATGGCGGGGTAGCCAAAGTGTATGCGGGGATACCCCCAGTGGAGCGCAAGGTTGCGATGCAATTGTGTCCTCAGAGTGCCTCCACATGGCGTGGTGGTCCCAAGCTCCTGTCCAAAGCCTGTAAATTCTCATCCACGCAGTTTGAGGCCGTAAAACATATTCTGTCCCGGCGGCCCGCTGCTGCCTCCACACTGCCGCCGGCTCAGCCACCTCAGCCTGCTCGTCGCCGAGGGCGCCCCCCCCGCGGTCTCCTCCACTCCCACTCGGCCACAGCAGCAGCCTCCACACCGGCCGCAGTGAGGAGATGGCCGCAGAAGGGTGGCGCAGCCCGTCTCTGCCCCTAAACCTGCCAAGCTTCCGGCCAAGCGGCGTTCCTGAGACGGGCGACCCGGAGATGGTAGCAGGACCACTCCTTCCCCCGGAGGAGGGCCGGGGGAGAATCCTTTGTTTTCGTTCTCTTTTTGTTCCGCCACTGGCCCCACGACCAGTCCCCCTCTTCCTTTGCCAGTTTCCAGGCAGAGCCGGCTCGAGAACGCATTGCCTTCTCACGCCCCTTTTTCCATGTCTCGGAATCAGACGAGTGTTCGCACTCCGCCCTCGCTAAGGGACGCTCCGCCTCCCATGTCGGGGCCGTCTGTTCCGCCTAGCTGCCCCACTGTGGGTACGCCTGTAGTTCCTTTGACCCCGCTGGTTCGGTTTCTGGGAGCCTGGCTACAGCTCTCCAGTCCGTCCCGCTGGCTCATCCAAATGATCAGGCTCGGCTACGTGATTCAATTCGCCAGGCGTCC